TGTCTGCCTTTGGCTCAGGTCATGGTCCCAGGGCCCTGGGATCGAGTCCCGAATCAGGCTCCCTGCTCCACGGAGAGCCTGCTTCTCCCCCTCCCTCTGCTGTGTTCTCTGTCAAATAAATTTAAAAAAAGAAAAAAGAAAGTAATCTCTACCCGAAACACGGGGTTGGAACTCACAACCCCGAAATGAAGAGTTGCTCACTCCACTGACAGAGCCAGCCAGGCGCCCGTCATCTCAAGTAATGTAACAGGACAGGGTTTATATACACTTATGTATAGGTCCATATCATGTATTTTCATGTAAAACAAAATAGAGCTATTACTGAGTTACTCAAATTTCCTTCTAGTTTTTTTTTTTAAGATTTTATCTATCTATCTAAAGAGAGCACGAGGCGGGTGGAGGGGCAGGGAGAGAGAGAATCTCCAGCAGACTCCCCGCTGAGTGCAACGCGGGGCTCAGGCTCGATTCCAGGTCCCTAAGATCATGACCTGAGTCGAAGAAACCAAGAGTTGCCCCTTAGTTCTCTTTTCCTCACTTTTCAAATTCCTTTTACAAGGTTCCCTGTCATTTATTTGCCAATTAAATGGACAGTTAAAGATACAGATTAATCTGTTTTACAGAATCTAGTAAGTCATGCCTCTAGAACCCTTTCCAGGTGTACCATTTAACTGACAAATACATGATTTCCCAATTATATATATTAATCGATGGCCAATTACAAACCAGGGGTATGCAGTGTAGTGATGAAATCCATCATTTCAACGTCATATTTTGAAAAAGGACTTGTAAAAACAGAAGTAAACTGATCACTTTGTTAACTGAATGAGACTGAATGCAAGAAATAGGATTTCATAAAATCTTAGAATTTTAAAAGACCAGTCAATACGGTGAACCATTAAAAATTTAGACAGAAAACAGGTCTGAGAGTCTAAAGAAAATGACTGTGTTTTAAGGAAGTGGTCTGATTAGAAACAGACCAGAACACAGGGCTAGATTCATTCTTTTCTTTAAAAAAAAAAAGCAAAATAGAAAGTTCTTGTTTAGATAATTAACGATAAAAACGTGAATCACGTTGCATTTAGGATGACTGACCCAGTGAAGGGCTTCAGAAGAGGCACACGGGTTTCCTCTTTTATCTGAAGTTTCAGATTAGCAGGTTCCGAAGGCATTCCCTTCAGGGTGAAAACTGTAAATACCATGCTTTAGCCGGAAGCCATTTGCTGCTTTGTTACAGTAAACGCCCTCAAAACTTACTGAAATACCCTCACAATTCTCCTTGCTCCTCACTGTCTCCAGGCTCTAAAAGATTATTATCCAAGCACAGATGAGCTTCGGGTTTGTGGCTTTTCTCATGGAGAACCCCTGAGAGAGAGAAGGTTCTATCCTCTGATAGCTGTTTGAGAAACTGGGCTGTGCTAACCCCCTCCGGAGAGAGCACGGCCCCCACACTCTGCCGTGCTGTCAGAGGGAAGGGGAGTCCTTGGCCCAACACCCTCCTACGGGACATCTGAGCTGTCATTTTATGTGAGTGTGAGGAACAGCAAGGCTGCAGTTCTCGCGACACTCATCCTAAAGCATTTCAGGACCCTGTCAAAGTCCTGTTTGTTCTTGAGCGTGTGCTAACCTGGAAGAAATGGAAGACCAGACTCGAGTGCGTGTTTCAGAGGCCTGCAGGCCTCACAAGCGCTCTGTGCTGGTCTGTGCTGGGGACCAGACTCACCGTAATCCACACTTAAGGATCTAGGATCATGTATCCTTATATCCTTAATATTTCTCTTTCTGAAACGCTGGTGACTCCCTTTCCTTTTTAGGATCAGTTTTTGGTTTGGGGTTAAAAAAACACTTCTTAGGTTTTACCACATCTGTCTCTTCCTTTCTTAACCTTAACCTCATTCTGTCCAACCAGCCCGTTGAAGACAATGACCTCGAGTGTCCTCTTTCAGTATCCCCTCCTCTGGAAGGTGCAGTGTGTATTTTATGACCTACAGAACCTCCTTCAGCAAACACCCCCACGCCCACCTTCTGCAGAAGCAGCTCCCCAGTGCGCCTCCCGTGCACTCACAGGTCCTGTCCCCTCCGCTGGCTTGGAGACTCTTCTCTATCACTTGTCCTAACCCCGGTTCCCGTGCATAGTAAGAGGTCGGGCTCAGGAGCCCCATTACCAAGCACTGAGTCTTGGCTTCGACCACCGACCAACTGTGTGATTTTGGAAAAGTTACTTAAATTCTCTCAGATGGGAAGTGAGAATGATAATAACAGCACGGAACTTCGGGCGCCTGGGTGGCTCAGTCGGTTAAGTGTCTGCCTTCGGGTCAGGTCATGATCTCAGGGTCCTGGGATCAAGTCCCGCATCGGGCTCCCTGCTCAGTGGGGAGTCTGCTTCTCCCTCTCCCTCTGCCTCGTAAAATAAATAAAAAAATCTTAAAAAAAAACCAAAGCAACAAAAAAACACAAAAGCCAGCAAGGAACTTCAACAGTCACTGAGAGGATTAACTGACAGAGTCCAAGCAGACCCCAGCAGCATGCCTGACAGGGCTCACTCTTACCACCACGGATACACGCCCACACCCCTCTTGGGAGCTTGTCCCATTTCAGGCCGATGCTGTACCTCCAAACGTCTGTCCATACCCTCCACTCCAACTGTCCCTGCCAATGTCACCTCTGTTTACTAAACACAACTACAAGTAAGCATGCCTACTAATTTACATGCAGTGTATAAAACATTTTATACTTTATAAAAGAGCTGGAAATATAAACACAAATATTCTGAAACCCACTAAAAACAATTTGATGTATACTTTTTATTTTAAACACAAATCTGAGGGGTGCCTGGGTGGCTGAGTCATTAAGCGTCTACCTCCGGCTCAGGTCATGATCCCGGGGTCCTGGGATCGAGCCCCACATCGGGCTCCCTGCTCGACGGGAAGTCTGCTTTTCCCTCTCCCACTCCCCTTGCTTGTGTTCCCTCTCTTGCTGTCTCTCTGTCAAATAAATAAATAAAATCTTAAAAAAAAATAAACAAAAATTTGAATACAAATTCTCCTTACTTCCTCAGGCCATTACTATTAGAAAATTTAATAAGAAAAAAAACACCAATGTTCTAAAAGAATCACAGTCAACCTTGTTAGATGCAAAATGCGTAAATCTTCCATAATAAACCTTAAATTAATGAGTTATTTATTACTAGTTTCCAAGGCATGGTTTTAGGTGGAGCGTGACAGAATGAATAATGTGAATCATCTTCTTTGGACTATAAATACAAGGCAACTTTCACAACTGTTATTTGGAAATTTGATGATTAAAAAAAACCTAGATATCAAGTAAAAATATTAGTCAATACTTGCATAATATTTTGCCTTGAAACTTTTGATTTAAATATCACATATAAAACAGATTCTGAAAGTAAGTAAATATATTCTTATTAAAATAAGCTAAAATGGAAGATTTAGGTGATTAATTTTTTTTCAAGAGTTTATATAAAGAAAGTTCATGACAAGACCAGCTTAGTCCTAGATCTCGTGTCATTTTTGTTTTCAGCACTTAACTCTCTAGAATTCAAGTGTTCAGCCCACCAAAGGCAAGAGCAGAGAGTCACAGAGGAGCAGAACCCCACGCACCGGCAGCATCTCCGAGGGCAGGAGGACATAATGAACCCTGCGAGCTCTCCCAGGCAAGGAGCCCTTTTGTGAACCTATCGTACACACGCCCACACGTTGGCAGCTCCTTTGCAAAGGCTACTGTTGGAGAAAATCCACCGGGCGGCCGCCCACGCTGTGCCGGTCGGTGTGCCGGACAAGGAGGCTGGGAGCCCTGAGGAGAAACACCGAGGCCCCAGGGCTGCCTGTTACTGTGGCTGCCACCAGTGCTCGGGACCGGGGAACCCAGCAAAAGGGGAAGTACGGGGCGCAGGCAAGTGCTCAGAGATCCAGCCCCCAGGCTCCAAGCCCTGGTGCCACGGCTGGAGCTGCATCTTCCCAGAGGAAGGGGCCTCTCTCCGTACTGTGCACAAAGAGGCACGATGGGGTTCACTATGGCCTGGGGCCCACAGAACAAAGGTATCTAACAGACTAGAAAAGTAACTAAACCTTTACTGAATTCCTGTTCTGTACCAGAACTGTAAATAAAAGCTTTATACTTACTCTTTTATTTCCTTTAATATTTCCCACTCTTTAGTAACGGGCACTGTAATCCGCATTACACAGATGAGGAAAAACAGCAGGTTTAAAAACACTGCCAAGTAAGAAAAAAGATTCATACGCAGGTCTGTTGTCTGTGAAAAGGGTGGAAATGTGTTCAATAACAAATACTAACCCTCATAAAGATGCTTGGGGTTTATACGTTGCTACCTTCCAGTTACTTTCAAGGCAGAATAAATATGCTCTTCAAAAGGTAGTTATGAGGGCGCCTGGCTGGCTCTGTCGTTAAGCGTCTGCCTTCAGCTCAGGTCATGATCCCAGGGTCCTGGGGTCGAGCCCCGCATCGGGGTCCTTGCTCCGCAGGGAGCCTGCTTGTCCTTCTGTCCCTCTCCCCCAGCTCATGCTCTCTCTCTTGCTCACTCTTTCTCAATCATAAATAAAATCATAAATAAAACCACAAATAAAAATAAAGAGATACATAGATAGATAGGTAGATAAATGGTAGTTAAGAACACCATAGCTTGGCTTCCCATCCAAACCACAGAGGGAAGAAAGAAACCTCCAACTTTAAGACAAAAGAAAGCAGCAGAGTCAAACACAAGCTTGTCAAAACGAACCAAATGAGGACCCCGCCATACTGACTTCAGAAGTGAAACTTTAAAAATGCTGGCTTGCAGTTGGCAGCCCCTTTATGAATTAATGACTAAACAAGGCTTGGGTAAAGCACATTTATGTGAAAAGGTAGGCCTCCCACAGAAAACCAGACAGAAATGAACCGTCATCCAGGCTCCAGTTTCCGTACAAGAGACTCCTGCTCGTGTACAAGCCTTCCTTGGCATACCGGGACGACAGTGTCTCACTCACCTGAGGCCGAGGTCATCAGACTCTGCTGCACTGGGGGGCTGGTGGGCGCCGTGACGCTCATCTGGGACAGCATGGCCTTCCTGGGGTCCTGCCACGTTGTCGTCTGATCGATGTGACTGAGACACAACAAACCACTGCGTGAGACAACACACATCGGGGTCCCCGGAGTCCCAGCCCCACCTCCCAGAGCAGAGCCGATGGCTCTCCCATGCAGTCAGGCCTGGTCGCTCACCCACCTCCCTCACCCCTGCACCACGTGGTCCACTCTCAGTTCCCAGATTCTGTCCGAGCAAGATCTGAGAAACCACACTTGCAACTTTAAGGGAAGGGAAACCATTTTCACCAGGGACTATTACTATCTGCTTCTAATTTGCAGATAAAAGGTGATTTATAAATTAATCATCCATGACAGCAATCATATGATCGAAACCCCAAATTCACAAGGGAATCGCCCACTATCTTCTCTGGGAGCTAAGAATGCCAATTAACATATACTTTTTAGATCAAAAGTCCCTCAGGTAAAACACAAAAGGAGGAAAAAGTCTTATTATAAATATATACTCCAAAGCCAAAACAGAATTAAAACCTTCATCTGTAAGTTTTCACTATCTCGTGACCGTGGAAGGTCTTTGTTAGTTGCTAAACATTTAAATGTTAAACACTGCATACTGTTACCTTACAGCAAAATATCTTATTACATATGCATAGCGATTTGTTCATCTATAGAACTGGATAAAAAGGGTTGAAGACTCTGTGAACTCTAAGACTACCAGGCATCTTGCACAGAATCTGGCGGAGGATCATTCAGAAATATTAGTTTTCTTCTTCCAGCAAAGTTTGCTTCAGTGAAACAGAAACTAAAAACACTAAATATGTGAAACTATTTAAGAAATTATCCTGAAGAAATAGCCAGAGAAGTATTGACACACTGATGCAAAGTTCTCTCTGTATAATTTATAAAGGCAAAAATCTGAAAGCCAACTAACATCTAATGAAAGGGATTGGTCAATTAAATATCATAATGTATGATGGACTACAATGCAGCTATTGAAAATATTTTAGAAGAATATTTAAACACATGGAAAATATTTGTAATACTGCTATTTATTTTTGTAATACTGCTTTTTAAAGTAGTTTGTAAAATAGTATGTACGGTTTGAGCCTACGTGTGTGTGCTGAAAACATGGGAAGGACAGACATCAAAATGTTTCCACAGTGTTTATTTCTAGATGGCAGAATTACAGAACTCTGCTTTGCTATGCTAGGTTTTCCTACTATTAAACAATCATAAACTAACATTACTTTTGAATGGGGGAGTGGGGCCAAAAACAGGGTTATTTTTAAGAAGTCCCCTCCCCCCCATCATTTTTTTTGTATGGCTGTTTAAATGTCAAATCTGAGCTCTCTCTTCTTGAATCATCTCCTGTCAATGGTAAGGAAATGACACTCTATCGTTAACTTTTCTGAAATAGAACTAGAATGTAACACATCAGTAAGACAGTAAGAAAGGATCACTGCACTCTGGATAGTTTGAACCTCAAGTATTATCTACTAGCAATAGGAGAATTATTTGAGTTCCTAGGCAGGAAGAACGGGGATGAAAACGGGGAGGAGAACATGGAAGGCCTCCGAATGGCAGTGGGACCTGTCCAGTCGAGGCTCCTGCAGACCAACTATAAATACTCAAGAGGATTTATTTATATAGTGAGGCATATAATCTCTCCAGCCGTAACTGACCAGCACACTCTCCCAGCAGTTAAACGCTTCTAAGCACGAGCACGAGCATTCGCTCAGGCCCAGACAAGGCAGGTGAAACCTTGTTTCCGTCCTGCCATGGAAGCACCCCATTCCAGAAGACCGGATCCTTATCAAACCCAGTAAGAGCCCATTCCTCTTCCCTTTCAACCCTCCCTATGAGCCACTAAACAAATAAAACCATATAATGTTTTCTAGGTAGGCAGAGATTCTCATACTTACAGATATCAAGTGATACACACATGGTAATTAATACAATCGTACTGGAAAGAAGCTTACAATCCACAAGAACAAAATTTAGAGAAATGTTTCCCACTGCCTGTTTAATGTTATGAAACTAGGAGAGGAAATGGCCAAGTGATTACTACTGGCTCTTAAATTTCAAAGTATGTGCCCCTGCCTACTCCTTGTGTCTAGTACTTCCTAAAATCTCCTCACCTGTAAGGGGTACAGAAGAGGAGGGAGATAGAATGGAAGCGAGTTCAAGATTCTGACTGTGGACAGTTTTCTAAATACTCAACAGCTGGGTTTCTCTGAAAACTAATCAATTCCACAAATCATATTAATCCGTTCTTAACTAAGTAGGGCTCCACCTGAGGGCTGAGGAAGACCCCATTCTGATGGCTTCCGGAATAGGGACACCAATCTGTACATCTGTTCTTAGAGCTTCTTTCTCCTTGAAATAAATCAGGGTTTGAATACTGAGAACATATAGTTTTACTGCTCTCAGAAGATCAGTTATTTTACTGAAATGCTACATAAGCATATAAACGCTAAGATTCCTCTTCCTGAAAGAGCTGTTAAACCCCAGTAAATTAGCTGAGAGTCCCATAAAGCTGTACTAGTTACCTCAGCTAATGGCACATTCACTTAAAAAACATCTATAGCTCTTTAAGGAATAAAGATGTCATTATCTAAATTGTCCAACTATCACTTAGATGCCAAAGAAAATGTGAAATAAAATTAACTTAGAATTTGTCTTATTCTGTAATATTAAATCATGAAAAATACTGTTTTATCCTAATAAGTCAATGTGAAACATACACTCCAAAATATCCAGCCTTCCTTTTAATCATTAGAACAAGAATCTTTATAAAAACATTTCATACCTCAAAGAAGTATTCTTGCTGAGACCACATGAATAGTTTGCAAGGTCTGCTTTCCTCCTAGATATTTCGTGGTACCTTTGCTCACCTCCTCTGGTCTTTGCTCTCATGTCATATTCTCAGCAAAGCCTTCCCTACCCATGTCACCTAAAATCTACCCTATCGAAATTTACACTCCCTCTTTTTAATTTTTTTTCCTGATAATCCTTTATCATTATCTGACCTATTTTACTTTTTTTGCCTGTTTCCTCCAACTAACAAAAGCTCCAGAGAAATAGGGACTTTTACTCATTTTGTTAACTACTATATCTTCAATGATTAGAAGAGTGTTTGATAAATAGATGTCAAGGAATTAATGAAAAGAAAGCTTTTTTTCTTTTTTGCCCTAAAAACACCCAACATTCTCTCAAAAGTCCTTGTATCCTTACTGATTTCATCCAAAAATGAAATTACAGGTCAGGATGACAGATCCACTGGAACTGGCACAAGGAGATCCCTGGTTCAGCGGGAGCAGCAGCTTCGGCAGCGTGATGAGGGGTCCAGTGAACGGGAGGGAAGTAAGGAAGCAGACAAATGCAGGTGTGCTCAGGGACGAAAGCAAAACCGCAACCAGATGCAAAGGAGTTTTTCTTTCTTTTTTTTTTAAGATGAAGAAATGCAAGTTTAAATGTGAATAGAAACAGGTTAGCTGAAAATGTGCTAAGGGATCCCTGAAAAGCTGGACTCCTCCATCAGAGGGTAGGAAGGAACAGAATGTAGACATTGCTTCCACTGGAATAGGAGGTGGATGAAGCAGAAGCAAAGAATTTCACTGGCTGGTAAAAGCAGAATGAGTTCTGGTGTGAGGACTTCAATTCTCCTAAGAAACATTAAGATGATTAATGAAGCTGGTCTTATTGGTAACCCCACTATGCAAATAGAAAGTTCAGGCACTTGGGCGTCTGGGTGGCACAGTCAGGTTTTGGCTCAGGTCATGATCTCAGGATCAGGAGATGGAGCCCCACATGGGGCTCCCTGCGCAGCGGGGGATCTCCTTGAGTATTCTCTCCCTTTGCCCCTCCCCCCTCTTTAAAATAAATCAATAAATCTTAGGGAAAAAAAAAAAAAAGAAAACTCAGGGACTTGTACAAAGTCCCATATCCAGGACACAACAGGACTGTGTGTGGTATCCAGGAATTTTGAAAACAGTTTATGTACAAACGAATTTATGAAAGGACAGCACTCAAAACTATAAATGCTTTGTAACACATACTGAATAACAAAAATATTGCATAAACACTACAAGGGTAGAATAAAAAGCCAAGGGTATTAAAGATTCAATAGAAGATGACAGAATAGGGACACCTGGCTGGCTCAGTCAGTTAAGCATTTTCCTTCAGCTCAGGTCATGATCCTGGGGTCTTGGGATCGAGTCCCCACATCAGGCTCCCTGCTTGGTGGGGAGCCTGCTTCTCCCTCTGCTGTTTCCCCCTGCTTAAGCTCTCTTGCTCTCAAGAAAATAAATAAAATCTTAAAAAAAAAAAAAAAAAAGATGCCAGAATATTACGAAACACAATTTCTATTACCACTAGAGTATCAGCTTCTTGAGGGAGATGCACCTGGGAGACTGCTGGACCCCAGCAGTGCTCCAGGAGTATGTGATTTTAATGCCTTAGGCCAAAACGTGGGTGATTAAGACTTCATGTAAATGCTAACCTGAAAAAGGGCTGAAAGGAATTTTGTCAAACCATACTAATTCTACCAATCAAGAAATGGGCAGAAGACATGAACGACATTTTTCCAAAGAAGACATCCAAATGGCCAACAGACACATGGAAAAGTGCTCAACAACACTCGGCGTCAGGGAAATCCAAATCAAAACCTCAATGAGATACCACCTCACACCAGTCAGAATGGCTAAAGTTAACAAGTCAGGAAACGACCGATGTTGGCAGGGATGCGGAGAAAGGGGAACCCTCCTACACTGTTGGTGGGAATGCAAGCTGGTGCATCCACTCTGGAAAACAGTGTGGAGGTTCCTCAGAAAGTTGAAAATAGAGCTACCATATGATCAAGCAATTGCACTGCTGGGTATTTACCCCAAATATACAAATGTAGGGATCCGAAGGGGCACATGCACCCCGATGTTTATAGCAGCAATGTCCACAATAGCCAAACTGTGGAAAGAGCCAAGATGTCCATCGACAGATGAATGGATAAAGAAGATGTGGTATATATATACAATGGAATATTATGCAGCCATCAAAAGGAATGAG